TAAGAGCCAGTCGTAACAGACGGGTTGAGGACCAAAGTGTTGTCTGGAGTTAGGTTTTCCTCTAAGTGTTGTACCAAACTTTGCATTAACTAGTAAACATACTAGTTAATGCCCATTTCCCGCCATTACAGGCACGTAAACATTAGGAGTTGGCGCTAAACAGCAGTTGACGCCACACAACGAGATCTCTTAATGGCTACTTGTATGGAAACATGGCCTTTCCATTAGTTTCATGTATTAATGTGAGGAAGGTTACAGTTGCTCATGCTCAAAATAGATGCTTGTTATAAAGAGAGACTACATGAGCAGATTTTCATCCAGGCCTTTATAATTCGTCGTTAAAAAGGGTGTAATAGAAGGAGTCGCTGCTGGACTTTGGAGCTACTTTGTACATACTTTCTATCAATGGGGCCAAAATACAGGCGAATACAGGCAATAGGATGTTATATGTTCTCAAGAAATGCTACGTCCTCCCACCCAATCTGTAACCAGCTGCTGTATAAAGTTAAAAGTACAAAATCACAGCTAGCCTTTCAGAAACATCCACTGGGATCTTGTTGGTTGGCAACTGTCTGCATAGCAAATCAACGAGTACTATTTATATATACCTATATGCACATAATATAGAATCAGGTGCACGTTCACTGTTCGCTTTTAAAGTCCACATCAGTTATGTGGAAACATGAACACTGGCTTTAGGAGTTTGTATTGTGCTAGTGGTGCCAAATATCCAGTCAACGCTGTTTAACCACTGCAGAAGAAGAAGACATAATGGTTAACAGCTTGAGAATATGGAAACTCTGCTGGTTTTGTGTATTAATGTGAGGGAGGTTATAATTTCTTATGTTCCATCTTCTCCAGTGAAGCAGAACCTTCAGTGGACGCTGACATCACATGCATCTTGTACTCACTTAGTCTGCTTCCACTCCACTTTGTCGCATTTCCCTTGAACATTTCGTGTTGCTAATTTTACACCGCAGCCTCGACTCATAAAGAAATGACTTCTCCATTAAAGGCTCCATTGATTGAGCAGCATCTCTGCTTGAGGATCCTCTCTCTGTGGCTCAGGTTTCACCGGCCATTTGTTTGTGGCTCAGAGTAAGAAAGAGACAGAGGGATGGAAAAAGCCAGAGTGGGGGAGGAGTGGGGTTTGACATAAAGAGCCAGCTGCACGTGTTGCACACATGCATGGCCCAGCACCAGATCCAGTACACCTACAGCGCATAGTCACTGAGAAACACGACAGGCTGAGATGAAGCAATGCTGGACTTGCAAATCGGCGCAGGGAGACGAACTAATTTGAAAAGATTTGAATTATTCAAACCTTTGAAACCACTAACTTCAATTTACTTCACCCTCTGGGTCTAAAAGTCTGTATCCTGGTTTGCAGCCGTGGGAGGCCTCTGCTCATTACGCAGTGGAAAACAAAACACCGAGCAGTTTAGGACAGATGAGACTCAGTCTGTCAGGCTCTGTGCAGTTGAACTTTGATCAGCGGAGTAGATCAACAGGATCTCATGCCTGTGTTCAGACAGGAGTCAAGATGTTCGCCGAGTTTAGCATAAAGACTGGAAGTGTTGAACTGTCAACGTGGCCAAAGTTCAGAAATACATCTGAGATAACTAATAAACATATTATATCTCATTTGTTTACAACAAATGGAAATGTGATATTGATTATTTGTGGTTTTAGAGAGAGTTAAATTCTTTCTTGTCAAACTAATAATAATGTATCCATCCACCCAGAACATCTGTTTACATCGCTGGTGCCAGATCGAGTTGTTTCATGACCCTGGCAGGGTGTTTATTTATTTTTAGCTCGCCAGGCTAGCTGTTTCTCATTTCCAGTCTTCATTCCTACACTAGACTAACCTGTCCAGACTCCAAGCTGAGATAGGTGTCAGTTTTCACATCGGAAATGAATATTTTTTTAATTTTCAGAATGAGCATGTAGGAGGAGGCTGCTTTGTTGCAGAACCACTCTGTCTACATTCTTAATTGTGCATAAATTTAGGCTTTGGTGGAATTCAAATTGGTGAGTTGTATGAAATTTCAGTCTGAATGGAGAAATTAGCTATACTGACCAAGGCCTCTTTTTTTTTTTTAGTGAATTGTCCATTTTCATGATCATGCATGTTCCACCAAGACAGTTACCCATAACCACTATCTTGAGCACTGCATC